ATTTTGATGAGAAGGAATAAGGCGAAGGAGGGTGAAAGCAGTGATGTCTCGCATGAGCTGGCGTTCCAGGATTTGACGGATAGGGAGAATCCGAATTTTCGGTATGTTTATTAGGTCGTGTTCTAATTGTTCTGAATTTGGGAATGTATAGTCTGCCTGCTAGTAGCTAGTTAGTGATGAACGGAACTGGAATATGTCACAATAACTGTACGATCATAAAACTCATAAAAGTTCTCGCAGACATGAGTGCCGGATCTAACCGACCTCTTGAGTACTATCATTACTATAGTGAACAAAATGATCTCGGTCTTATTCAAAGTCTATATAGAGCTTCTTCAAAACAGGGATATGCCATTAAGTAACCACTTACTTTCAAACCCATTGTTTATATACATGCCAAGCAAATACACTCATCGAGATTTCTACTTCTCTGCAACCGCAAAAAGCAAATCCGCCCAACTGAACGGATCAACCGGCGATGCCTGGCTCTTCACAGAAGCATCATAAACATCCTTCACGCGCGAAGTCCAAGGCACATCAACCCCCCTCTCCAAAGCTTCATAATAGAGTAGACCCCAAGCAGCCGGATTCGTCTTCCCATCCTGATACCCAATATACCGGTTCACCGCAGAAATGTTCGCCCAAGGACCATCCACCAAAACCACCTCACATCGATAAAAGCTCGCATCATATGGCACCGTATGATTCATGAGATATTTCCCTGCATACTCCGCCGCTGTGAAAACAATATTATCCTCCAAGGCAAACAAGTCATAGTCCTGGTTAGCCACGACCCTCGCAGCAAGTGCCGTCCATTGCAGCGCATCCTGTACATGGGACTGATCGCGACCCGCTTCGGAGTTCTGGCCTGTGGAAGCTAGATAGTTATAAGGAACTCCGGCACAGCGATCATACTTGTATGCGTATAAGGCATAATTGTATAGAGCCACGTCGTCCAGGTAGACGGCGAAATTGAGCAAGCCCATGATACTTGCCATGCCGTAGTTGGCTTGTCCGATGATGATGCTCTGTCGGGCGAAGAGCCAGTAGAGCTGGACGCTCAAGCCCGAGCCACCTTTGTATGTTGCGCCTTGCTCGACCCAGCCGCCTTCCCAGCGCATGATCTCGGCTGCATTGGCGAAGATGGAGCCTTCGATGCCGATAAGGAGGGATCGGTCTGTGCCGATTATGTTCTCGAGATCGGAGCCCCAGGCGTCGAGGATCGTGGTGGAGCGGTTCCAGTGGCTTTCGTTGCGGGTGATGTACCCTGTATTGAATCCAAGTTATTAGCCCTGGAAAAGGCCCTTCGGGCTTGTGTACTTACACATAATAGCATTCTGATATGCAGCGCGAGAATCATCATGGAAACTAGTATAGTTGCTTATTTGCCCACGACTGATCACAGGATACGGGCCTTGCATCTCATAGGATGCATTGGAGTAGGGATCTTGAGCGAATCGGGTGTATGCAGATGCCCAAGGCTCGACACCGTTGAGGACATTTGTTCGCATGAGCTCGAGTTGATCATGGCTGTGCCAGAGTCCTGGATGTTGGAATTGATTCGTTCTGTTTTTGGAGCCGGGTGTGTCGGGGACCATCATTACGGGCCCTGGTGTGGATTAGCATTAGTGGGGTTGTTGAGGGTTAACGTCTAGCTCGTACCGTTTAGACTGGGGACATCTTGAATCAGCCCGTGGACGTGAGTAGCGGTAGCCACCGCAAGGCATAACTTGAGAATATGCATGGTCGGATTGCTTGATAGTAGTAAAGTTGGAGTCTTGGTGATGGCATGTTGTTCATATTACTAGCTTTCATCTCATGATCAAAGATTAGATTAGACCTCGGGCTAAGTGCCGGACAGGGACCGATTCCCTAACTGAGCTAAGGAATATAGTCAATATCTATGCGGGGAAAAGCCGGAAAATGCGCCGGTGTGCATAAATTAAGTGGCATACGCGTTCTTCCCGAGAAGACGGGAAGAAGGTGGATCTGGTGGGGAGGAGGAAGAACGGCTGCTTCATTTGCCGATGCCCCTGAAGAACAAGCACAAAACAACCCTACTTTAATATAGATATCAAACTCAATTGATTCAGGGTAGTAAATACAAAGAATATAAAGTAGCCTGTATCACCACCACATCCTCCCTTCTCAACATCATCCCAAGCTTCACAACACTTCAACATGATGTCTATTCTTTCTCTTCTCTCCCTCCCTCTCTTCCACCACCTCGCCCGCGCAGGTACCATCTACCACAGCAACTTCACCTCCGGACTATCCCCCTTCTCCGCCTGCAATGTAGAATCCCCGTCCTATTCCACCGCCACAGACGGCAACCTCACCGTCTACTTCGACGAGTCCTACTACGACGGCACCCGCGACCGCAAAGGCGCCGAGATCTGTGTCTTTGAAAACGACACCACCACCAACGTGGCCCAAATGACCAAGGAAGGCTGGCAGGGCTTCTCCATCTATGTGCCCTCGGACACCTACCCAACGGACAAAAGCGCCATCATCGCCCAGCAGTTCTGCCCCGGCGGGTGCTCCTCGTGGTGTGGCACTGTCGAGATCGTGAATAATACTCTGCAGACAACGCACCGTGCTGCTTGCTCTACTGGCACGACGGCGACGATTGTGGATGATATTGAGAGAGATGCCTGGCATAGTGTTGTTGTGCATATGCGTGTGTCAGAGGAAAGTGATGGCGCTTATGAGGTCTGGTGGGATGGGGAGCAGGTTTACAGTGTGTCGGATATTGATGTGGGTTTTGGGACTTGGGATGATGACGATGCGTTGACTACTGGGTGGTACTTCAAGAATGGGGAGTATTGTTTTGGTGAGTTGGTTGAACAGATGAGATAGGGCTGTGGTGGTGGCTCTTGCTAACTGGATTTTCTAGATACCGACGCCTATACTGATGCGACTAGAACGCTGTACTTCGATAACATCACTTGGTATGAGACTGATGATGGCAGCGATGATGGGTATGAGACGGTTTATCCTTGAATGTGATGCATCTGGAGGAACGTGTATAGTATTGCTGTGTGGTTCGCGCTGGCGATGAATGGGTATTTGAGATAAAGCTGTATTAGCGAGTTGCCATAATAATGAGGAAGTATTCTCTTGAAAATCAAACTGCATTGAAGTAGGATCTATTTACGTCTTGTGCTCTGTTACGGCATTGGCCAAGCAAGATGCTTCATTGGCTGGAAAAGTGGAGCCCAGCGCACTGACGTCGATCTTCATACTAACTTCATATACAACTGCGAAGCACCTACAGTGTCTTGTTTTCTTCCCTATTGGGAATTTGTGCCCTACACTCACTGACCTTACTAGGAACTTCTTTCAAACAAATTAGAGAGCACCATGAGTGAGACAAAATGCTCGCTAATCATAAACGCCCCGCACTACGGCCTTGGCGAAGAAGAATTAGGTGAGATCCCTGCACTTTTCATGGTTTGCATCTGAGACATTTCAGCCTGTACTTAGAGTGGCGATTTACATTAGATTCTTATGTCCCTCATCCACGCTTAGTTTTGCATTATGTTTCTAATTTCTTTTAATGAGCAAACATGTCATCTGTTAGTGCTACTCTGATACGCCGAGGCACCGAAGTGATATCCGCTCGGCTTCAACCCGGTCAAGACCCTCTGGTGAGAGAATGGATAGGCATCTTTCTCATCTTCTTCACTGTTTTTGCTTTTCTCCTTGTAACTTTCTGGGTGAGTCAATAGTCAAACGATAACAACAAGCACTATACTAATGAAAGAGAACAGGTCGCCTACACCTCCCAAGTCATCGCAGCCCTAGCTGCAATCGAAGACCCTAACTCCAACCCACCCCCATACATCCGCCTCGACAACCAAACCGACAACTCCAATAATCCCGAACTCACCACCACCGCAGTCCCAAAACCAATAACCAGCGACCTCCGCACAGCCATCAACTACCTCTTCACCCTCGGCGGTGGCGGTATTTTCTCCACCTTCCGCGGATTCCGCATGTATCTCGCCTTCATCTCGCTAGATATGGTCTTAGCCCTCTTAATGCCTGCGTTCATCCCCATTCCCATCCACATGACCCTCGCCTCGTTTCTAGCCAATTTCATGGGCAGAATGTTCCTCGCTACATGGCAAATGGCATGGGTTCATGTAGTCATCGCAGATAAATCGCCTTTCGTCGGCTATCGACGCATGCTAGGGTATCAGAATTGGAAACGGATTGCTCCTGTTGCAGTGCTGCATAGTGCTGTCATGTCTGTGATTTCCTCGCTGAATTTGGCTGTCTCCAGGGCTGTTGGGTGGGTTATTCTGGGTTTTCTTGGTGAGAAGGGATCGAGTGGTGGAAAGGGAGAGGGGGGAATTGGTGTTGTTCTCTTGTTTATGTTCTTTTTCTCACTCACTGTGCCTGTTAACGCGATATTCACTCGTGTGGCGGCGTCGATGTTGCCTGAGGGACTTGATCCCATTGTGCCGTTTGATCGGCAGTTTGGTGGTAAGGTGAAGATGGGGAGTGGGAATGCGAGATTGGGTATTGTGGATGCGTGGAGGACGTTTGAGCGGTCTGCGAGGGTTCGATACTTTAAGGTTATTTTTCAGGCGATTGCTATTGAGATTGTGTTGGGTGTGGTTGGGGGGTTGCTGGTTTTGGGCGAGTTGAAGTGGTTGCTTTACTCTCACTGAACGTCCCCGTTGACTATACTCTTGCGCTGATGGCATTCATTAATGAGCGAAAGCCTTCCGGACTTGATGCACGATAATCTACTGAGAGTCAATGAGATGTCGCCTTTCGATAGCCTCGACTGAAGTATCGAAGGACAAAAGTATGGTGATCGGAAAACGTACATCACAATCTTTCTGGATCTTCGCAACACTGATCGTCTAAAATCTTCATAAGAATGGCTACGCTTTACAATCTAGGGAAAGCATGCAAAACAATAGTAACAATTGTTCTACGTACAGTCATTTAAATATCAAAAAGCAAAGCTAACGAGCAGTTGTGACTCAGATTATAACGCCTTCCCCGAAATACCTCGATATTATGTTCAAATCTGTCTCAGAAAGTCTCGGGATATTGTCTTCACGGTACATCCGTTCCACATATCTGGCTGCTTCAATACCAAGGGTGCCACTATTATATTGCTGCCACATTGCCGTATGTAGCTCAACAAGCGTGGCCTTCCTGACTGCGTTCGTTATATCATCAGCACCGTCTTCGTCGAATATAACCCTCTCCTCACTAGCTTTAGCCCTCCACCAATACTCTTCATCAGTCGCAATTCCGGGCCTTACTCTCGGCCAGGTACCTCTATTAAAAACTTCAAATGCATCCACGATCACACCATCCCCAACATCTGACACAACAGAGGCACCTGCCCCAAGCAGAGCCCGGACGATATCTCTCCGCTCAAGCGTGAGACCATTAATCATCGGGAATTCCCTTCTCCACTTCCCCACTGCCACAGTCAACACATTACCATATACTCTCGAGAGCGGTATGTTGACGGCAGCATTTCCGACCTCGATCAAATATTGGACACATTCTGAATTCCCTTCCATGACGGCAGCCGCCAATGCACTCCCGTATTCACCAACCTGGAGGGCCAAGTTCACGTTTGCACGTTTAACTCCCACCAAATATTTTATTATATTCAGAGAGTCGAAATTTCTAGCAGCGGCATCCAGGGCGCTACCGTACGGTCCGTATTGCAGAACCATATCGACATCTGCTCCGCCCTGCTCCACCAAGAATTTCGTGCCCTCCAACCAATTGGAACGAGTTGCCATAGCCAATGGACTGCCACCGCATTTCAGGTGCATGTTCACTTCTGCGTGGCCTTCAAAGATCAATAGCTGCAGCATGTCCATATCTTCTCGACGTATGGCCGCTTCAAATGCGCATGGACTCCAATGCGCCCCGCCTACCTCCAAATTCACGTCCGCTTTAGCGTCCTTCAGCAGAAATCTGGCCACCTCAATATGTCCATAATAGGCAGCCATGATCAGTGGCGTGAATTTGCTTGTGTCGTCGGGTCCGCCTTGTATCCCAACAGTACCACCTTTTGCCAGAAGGATCCGCAGAATTTGGATATGGCCATATTCCGCAGCAAGCAGCACGTAGGTTCGACCATGAAGATTAGTACTGGCTAGATTTAGCTCGCCATTATTCCACCATGAGTCCGATAGTTGGTGGAATCCAAATCGGCACACGGCCAGTATAGAGTATTTAGGAGGACTTAAACCTTCACCATACCACTGAGCCCAGATTCGGTATTGCGCGCTGCTATCCTGCGGAGCACCGAGAAACCTCTCCAGAAGCTCAACTACAGGAGAAAATACCTCTGTCGACTCGCCGGTAGGGTTTAAGATCGCAATATGTGTTGGCCAGAAAAAGGAGATGTAGTAGATGAATGTTCGTGTAAAGCAGGACCATTCGGGCGTCTCTTCCCATTGGTAGCGAGGAAATTTGTGCGTGGTTTCATTCCAAGCTTCGCTCAACATAAACAGTAAGCACGCTTTGCCCACCATCAGGTTGGTGACTGCAGCAGTCCAGCTTTTACGGAGCTCAAAATACTCTGCGACCGATAAATGCGATACTCTCCATACGTCCCGCTCGGAATCGATGACTAAAAGATTGCGGCATAATGCCAACAATGCATCGGCGCTAATTGAGGCACACAACTTTGTATCCATACTGTCAGGATTGATTCGGATTGCTTCGAGTAGAGCTTCCCGTGGAAGCGGTTCTCGTGCGGCCAGAACCCACTTGAAAGCGCGTAGCGCGAGATCTCGGTCGTGGGGAGGCTTCCTCTCTATCTCCTTCAAGAGTCCTTCGTACGTATCTTCGAGAGTTTCGGGGAGTGTCTTCAGACACTCCAGTATAGCTTCAGGAGAGATGCATCTCTCGAGCTGTTTGAGTTGCAGGTAGGTCCATTGAAACCTAACAACATCATTAGCAAACCTCATGGACCTTTAAAGAGCAAGAGATGCATGTGCCTACATTCCTTGACTTTTCGCTGACAAAGTTGACTTGATTCTATCCTGGAGATCGCAGAATACACTGTCCCTTTTGATCAGCTTTAGCATCTCTTGGTTGATGTAGGCCTGAATGTCCTGCTGGTTATCGGTCGCCTGAATCTCGATGTTTGGATGCGAGCGAACCTGTTGCTGAACATCTCCATCAGGTCGGCTTGCAATGAACAGCTTGATTGGTCTTGTACTGTTACAAAGCAAGTCTGTAAACAGCTCAAGGAGGTCACCACGCGAAGCAGGATCGCATTCGTCGAAAGCGTCCAACACCATTGTAGTTCGGGGGTAAATGTTCAGGAATTCTGACATCAATTCCCTGCAGTATTCCAAGTCCAGATCGGCACAATCCATACGTAAGTCCTCGTAAGTGGATTTAAGTATAGACTGTATGTACTTCGAATAGGCCTTGTTTGAACTGGTCTCCTTTGCGGAAGAGAATAGCTGACGCACGTAGCTCTGCGCCACGGCAAGGGGCCGTGTTCGAATGTCCTCGAACCGGTTGCAGTAGAAGTAGGCAAACCCTTCGTCTTTGGACGTTCTTGCCAAATTATATTGGACATGATCGATAACCTTCGAAGTAAGGAAGGTTTTCCCCACACCCGCTTGACGGCATTAGCGCCAAGTCTAGACAGACGAGAGAAAAACTGAGGGTAAACTTACGAGACCCTCGCAACCATAATACTGCCGAAGAATTGCTTTCTTCCCAGTCTCGGAATGCATCTTTTTGTAAGAGCCATTCACCCGTGCCTAGTGTCCGATTGTTGCGCACATTATTATGATGAGCCCTATATTTGACCGTTGAGACCCATTCTAGTATCTCCCTAGCCTCCCGGTCCTTAAGCTCCTTCAGACATTCTACAACCTGGGCCTCTATGCGGGGTAGGTGCCCTTGAATGTCCTGTAGGTGCTGTATTGCCTTTCTACCCTGCGCTGCACTGCATGCCTGAGCAGTATCGGCGAGCTCTTTCTCCTTAGCTATCAGATCCGAAAAAGCATCCGAGCCTTTGTCGAACACTGCGTCCAAGATCATAGCCCAGTTCGAGCCCGACAGCATATTAATGCTGTTGCTAAATAACTCCAGGACAGCCCGATATACATTCACAAGGTCTCGGCGTAGAGGATCAGGAAAGTCACCGTTTTCAGTCGCATAAGCGGACTCATATAGTCTGCCACGATATGTGGCCTGCAGAATTCGCTCTACAGCCCCAAGTAAGGCGGTCATCTTAGCAGCAAGGCTTACCGGGATCTACGAGTTCTCAGTCAGCACGCTGCCTGAATATTGCACAAACTGCTCTATCGAGACCATGCTCGAAGGAATCATCTGTGGAACCTCAACCCCAAGCACTATTGGGACGTCCATTCTCGCTGTGTTATATGGGCATAAACCTACCTCCAAAGCCGCCTTGATCAACCCCCAGGGCCCTGCAGCTTGCGAGGGTGCGAACGGAACGACAAGGTCCCCGGTCCGCTTCACCCACGTCGCGCATGTGGCAGCGTAGTCTCGCACAAGATGATCATTCTTGAACTTCCAGGCCTCCTTCTCTCGAAATTCCGTCTTCTCCTGGAGGTCCTTAAGCAGACCATCCAGATCTCCTTGCTTTGTGTCCAAACTCGTTTCGTAGCCCAAATCTCGAAGGTGACCTTGTGTTTTCTGAGAGAGCTTGTCAAACGACTCCTTCCAGAGATTTCGAGGTACTTTCTTGTCGTCATTTAGCTCCTTCGAATAACCGGGCAAGCTGGAATCGGGGGTCTTATCGTCACCTATGACACTGCTGATCTCACGTCGGGTGTCGCTGGTTGATAGTGACCTTCTTTTTTCTGTAAAGTTTCGAGGCACAGCCTCTTCATGCTGATCCTTATTTGTGATTAACACCTCATCCGATGCAGACGTACTTCTCTTCTGTGAGGGCTCCTTTGCGGGTTCAATGGGGTCACTTCGCTTGCAGTCTGGTGACGCGGACTGATAATCGGCAGCAGGCTCTTTATGTCGAGAACGATGCAACCGGCTTGAAATTTTTTCTTTCAACCGATGCATCTTTGCTCCGCACGTTGACCATAACTTGGGCATTGCATAGCAGAGATTAGAATCCAGTAGCTCCGGGAGGGCAAATCCCGGTGTTTAGACCCAGCTGTCGGGCGTGATCGATTGTGTGCTGGCTCAGCCACACGCGGGGTTCACGCGCTAAGTAGGTCGATAGGTCTATCTTGTTTCTTTCGCCCACTGACAATTGGCACCAGCTGCAAACATTGCTTTTTCTTTTTCGTCCTCATACCAGAAGTGGCTGTCTGATGACGTGCCATTCCTGGGCATGCTATTCAAATAGCATCCCTGATCGAGGTGGTGCTTTCCACAACTCCTATCAACTGGTGAATAATACCAACATAACACGGAATGAAGTTGATGAGCTCAGGCTTGACTGCTTTGGAACAAACCAATGCCCGCCTCAATAGAAGGCAATCACGGCAGTGAAGATACAGAATGCATGGATGGGGTGGTTAGTGGACAAAGGAGGTGAACTGTACACACCTAATACCCCTGCACGGAGTATCCCCCTCCATCCACTTGCTGCCTTTTCTCTGCCAGTTGCATTGACGCTCTGATCTGCGTGGCCTTCCCCTGTCCTTCAAACGGGGAGTGGTTGGAGCTTCTACAATCATCTCTGTCTAGTTCCACGGACATAGGGATATCAAACTCAGTCTGAAGTTCAAGTTTGACCTACTGCTACTCGTCGCCCGCCGGCCAACCCATTCCACGAGGGTGGAATGGCAGTATGCTCATCTTTGAGCCCCGCAGCACGGTTTGATGGTACACGTCGATGATAATTAAAATAATTCAATCTATCTGTAAAATAACGAACGTCGACAAAGACGGACATTTTGTTGCAGCTGTGAGTTCTGCACGGGGTTAAGGTTACCTCAACACAAGGCGGAGGGTCTTCGGGCCCTACAGCTCCAAATCTTAGTATTAACATGTTTCAGTCTTCATGTTTGCGATACATCATATAGTAGTGTTCGTTGGAATCTATCAAACCGAAACGTAGGTTGATCATTGAGGAATGAGTGTTATAGCAGTAGATTTCAGACCGCGGTCAAAGCACGGGCCGCGACCGCGGCGCACTAAACCCGATTAGGCCATCCGCCCAACCTCGAGCGCGCAAAGATCGCTGGTGCAAACACCGCGGAGCAATAGGTTGCTACTGCGACAGTTCCAGCTCTCCTCACCCTCCGACTGTCCAGGATGCCGCCCTTCAAAGATGAGCATATCTTGGTACGTGCAGATTTCTCCTAGTGCACCAGTCATTGACTTACCCCCTGCTGGCGGACTCAAACTGACCCCCTCCTCCCCAGATAATTGCGCCAGGCTCGCAAGTGACCCTGGCGCAACTGGGTCTCCCAGAGTCATTCACCCCTGCCCGCTTTCGCTTCCCTACGCGCATGTTTCCCGCCGAAAAGAAGGGCGAATACGAACCGTACAAGATCCGCGAGCGACGACAGGAAGTCCCCGTCAGCAATGGCAATGGCACCGACGCGCCCAAGGAGGACGTGGAGATGAAGGATGCGGAGTCGGCGCAGCAAGACGGAGCCGTGAAGACCGAGAATGAACCCTCCGAACAGCCCGAAAATGCGCAAAAGACCGAGGGCCAGGATGCCAACGGAGAGGAGAAGCAAGGAACGACAACCGAGATCTTCTACGAGGAGGATGTAACCTCCGATGAGGGGGCTGTCTATCCAATTCAGAGTGGTCGCATTGTCGACTGGCCATGCTTCTTTGCCCTTTTGACTCACGTTTACAACACTCTGAGTCCGCCATTCCACACCCCGATCATGCTGATCTCTGAACCGGCATGGTCCGCCCGCGACCGGGAGACGATCACACAGTTTGTCTTTGAAAAGTTCAAGACGCCCGCCTTCTGCCTTATGGACTCTGCTCTCGCTGTATGCTACGGATACGGTACCTCGACGGCTACAGTGGTTGATGTTGGCAAGGACAAGGTTAATGTCACTGCCGTCACTGACTTCCTTGTCAACGAACATGGAAGAGGTATCGCTCTAGAAGGCTGCGGTGGTGACTACATGACGGACAGGATTGTGGAGCTTTTGGGCCCGAAGGGATTTACAAGGGAGATGTGCGAACAGTTGAAACGCAGCAATATCACTGAGCTTTTGCCCCCGGGCACACCTCTTCCTGGTGCCGCTGCAACCGCGCGACAGGGCGCTAACCCCGCCGCTTCGGCCTCAACTGGGACCAAGGATGGCAATGCACCGAATGAAAACATCCCTCGCGGTCCGGGTGAAGGCACCCAGACCGGTGGTGAAGGCAACGGCGGGGGCGACGAAGATGAGGGAGTTTTGGATGTCGCAGCCATTGTCAGTGGTAACACGAGTGAGTTCCTCGCCAATCGGGAGAAAGAGAAGGCCGAGAAGGCCTCGACCAAGAAGGGTGCGACAGACCAATCCGGCAAGCCCCTCCGTCTTCCCAACTCCAAGAAAGAAAAGGCTTCATTCCAATTTGAGGAGTACGTGAGGATAGAACCTGAGAAGGATACGCCCAATGGGCCCGGGCGGTATATGCGTCAGTCTCGCGAGATCGAGGTCGGTGTTGAGCGCTTCCTCGCCGCAACTCCCAAGCAGAATTCGGGAGACCGTCTCACCGGCGGCCTGCTCGAGGATATTGCGACTCAGATCCACCACACTATCCTTGCAGTGCCTGATGCGACGAAGCGGAGTGAACTCTGGGACTCGCTCATCGTAGTCGGCAATGGCAGCAAAATTAAGGGTATGTAGCCGGACCACATCAGCATGAGGCTATCGATTGACATTTTACTTATAGGGTTCACACAATCCCTGTTGGGCACCATCACCCAGAAGTATATTCTCTCTCCATCCGCCACCATGTTCACCTCTGAAATCCCCTCCAACTTCTCTACTCCCCTTCCCACCGGAGGAACCAACACTCCGGCACCTTCCGGCCAGGCTGGTCCGATGAATCACCCTGCGGGTCACGGTGTGAATCCTCTGCTTGTCGCAGCCACCCATGCCAACAACCCCATTCCCGGCACTCCCTCCATGGACCCCGCCATGTCGCATCACCGCTCGACGGGACATTCTCAAACCCCCACATCGGTCAAGACTTTGAGACCCCCGGAATACTTCCCCGAGTGGAAGGAGCAGAGCAACACCAATGCCCCTGGCGCTGCTACCACAGGAGGGCCTGGAGCCCCAAGCGGTGGCCACGGTATGGAAGAGGCTGTGTTCCTCGGAGCACAGGTTGCATCGAAGGTTGTTTTCGTGATCGACCAAGGCGTCAGCAAGGGCTTCATGAGCCGAGTGGAGTACAACGAGAATGGCCCTTCTGCGATCCATGAGTACACCATGTGATCACCTTTAATGATTGGCTTACGTGCCTGGGGATTGATACGCGGGTTTGTTGACATATGAAAGCGGTTTCTTTTACTTACGGACCTGGTTCTGGTTCCTATTGATGTTTCAAATTTACGGTTAATTATTTTGTTCAGCTCTCTTTCGTGGATATTGTATTCTACGTGATGGCGTCTTTCACTAGAAAAGCAAGTCTGACTCGGATGCTAGGATAGGTGGAGTCTGGTCGGATAGTACTTGAATAGTATTCGTGCAATGAACTGATGTAGTTCCTTTGGTAGCAGCCGGAGTCATAAGCTTAGAAAGTGCTCCTGGTGCTTATTTGTGGCCGACGACGTATGCTCCGTTAACTATGTGTGTAGAGATACCTTGCACTTATTCAACAGACAGACTATTCTACAAAAAACATACAACTCCACCTTGCCCTGGTTCCTTGAACCACCATCCTGCGCTGATTTGACGTATAAATGTTCTACCGAAGTTTAAAGAAATTCGTGGGTTCCCAAACTTGAGGCGTTCAAGTGCACAAAAGTGTCAACTGCGTTCGAAAACAATGATATGTTCCCAATCGGGAATTTACGGATACTTCGGAAAGAGGTTCCGAACGGATCAAGATGTTGATCGAGGATGCGTATGGTCAACTAATCGAGGAACATGTAAATATATTGGGAAAACCCCAGTCTACTGCATCTATATTTACTGAACCCATGAGTTCTCACACGGTATACCTCCACGGCCTATATACAATCAACCCCCACCCCCCCCCCCCCTCCAACTTTTTTTTCACCCCAAAAAAACATCCACCTCAATCTCCAAATTCTGCCCTTCAAACGGCAACGCCTCAATCCCCAACATAGTCCAAGTAGGCTGATGATCGGGACACCACTTCTTAACATTCTCCACCATGAGGTTGATAATCTTCTCTCGAGTCTGGGGCAACTGGACATGGTACGTGCGGATCTTCACGACGCGGTCCCAGCCGGATTTCACGCTAGCGCGTAGATCGGGCTTGGCTTTTTCTAGTGTGTAGAGGATGACTTCGTTGATGTTGGTGAATGCTTGGGCGACTTCTTCTTCCAGCGTGGGGGGCACTTCGGTGGATGTGGGGGACATGCCGGCTATATCCCGAGGGATTAGTTGCTGATGAGAGGAATGGAATGGGGCTGGAGGGCGGAGGGGGGCTCACTCTGGCCGGCTATTTCCATTCGGTCTCCGGCTATGCAGGCTTCGGCGAAGCCGTAGGCTTCTTGGAAGTGTTGGCCGCGGCCGGGGCGGGAGTAGCTGGGGATTGGGAACATGGTGGTGGTGAGGTTGGTTTGTGGATGTATGGGGGTGGAGGAAATGTGGAAGGTAGAGTGCTTTGTTTGAAGAGGGGTCATGCTATTTATGTTTTGTTGTGCCTGGAAGTGTCATTTATCGATCTTGTCGTTATCAACGCTAGTTGCAGTAGTGCTTACTAGCTGTCAGGCGTCCTTCGTAGAATTGATAATCAGTCGCCGCTCAGACATACAATGTAGCGTTGAAGCGGTGATCATTGGATGTTAAAGCATAACTTTTTCTCGTGACCACATAAACATCTATATTATTGGACACCTCACTCCTCGCCAGATAGTTCCATCGGTAATTCCGGCGTAGTGTTGAATGCTTTCAATCCTGTCTCTCCCGTGCCAGTATTCTCTCCACGTGTAGCAAGTTCCGACAAGGCGACATCTTCCTGTGGCACGTAAGCTGATGAGGACACGCCGACATAGCTGCTTCGATATCGATGAGTGTTCTTAGTGCGGCGGTAGATGATCGCGAAAGCTGGAAGACAGCCGACGATAACAGCTAGCAATAAAGGTTAGCAGAGCAGAAAGAAGAAGAGGGGGTTCCGCACCTATTCCTGCCTCGATCATGCCCCAGAATGCCAGCCAGGAACTGCTTGGAGTGCTGTCGTTGTTAGCGCGAGTACCAATTTGGATAACTCGTACGACGGCCATGATCACGCAGATGGTGCCCAAGGCAAACACGGCTGCAACACTGATCTTCTGGCCCAATGGAAGGCGCAGCGACACTACCAGTCGCAACGGCAGCACCATGACTTATTCACTTTAGCAATGCATCTTCATCATACCTCGAAACAGAAACTTACTCATTATATCACTGATTGCATCGACCGCAAAACTATAATACAGACTGGCAATCTCTGCCACGGCGTCTCGATGTGTACTGCACTCCCCTTCGCACTTGTCAGTATCCACACATGCAGGGGGACACGGAGCACTGACCAACGGTGAACCATGCATGCATACTTTGACATGAGGTAAAGTTGGAAACAACTGCCCCGATAAAGGTCTACACAGCTGTCAGCTAAACTATTCAGGCGCAATAGCTCGAATCAGGGACGCACCACAATGCAAAAACACAATACCGCATACCACCATTTCATCTCACCCGGCAGGTCTTGAAGAAGTCGACGATAGAGGAACAGAAAGTAAAGCTTGATGGACCACAGCGACCCCCATAATAGCATGGTATTTGCAAAGAAGACCTTGATCATGAAAAGTGCGTCGGACAGCATAGTCGCCCAAGGACCTATCTTTCCATCGGTATACGCATCGATTTTGTACACAACCGGGGTGACGATTATGTACGCAATACTCATAGCCAAAAAGCAAGCCCACGACAGCAGAATGCAGCCATCCTCGACCTGCAGCGACCGTAATTTCCAGAAGATCAAGCTAAACCGAGCAATGACCACCGCCGACGACAAGGCGATCATGGTATAGCCTGTGGCCTGCACCTGGCTAGCTGAGACATAATTTCTTTCCATCCGGACTGGTGGAGTGATCGCCAGCGATGTCTAAGTCGCTTAACGGCAGACATCCCTTTTCATATTCTGCCGACAGCCCGGGTGGTAAGCATCCTGCGGCGGGCAACAGGATGCATTAGCAAGTGTTGATTTCACGGATACGGCTAATCTGGATGTCATCCGTCATCAAGCGAGCCGGACGGCCGCTAAGGAAGAACCGGCCGTATAGCGCCTTGTTTTAGGGAAGCCACCAGGATGGCCTATAAAGGAATGAGCCCCCTGCAGTAAGTCAACGCCTCCTGAAACCTCTACGACTCCTGCTCCAACCCTTATCTTCATCCTGTTCCTGCCAAGCACCATGCGGCCCGGCGCGCTGTTCATCGCTACGCTTCTGGCGAGAGTGACAGCGCTGGACAACACTACCAGTCGCATTGTCGCTAAATTGGCATCCTACGGAGTTGATGCCTATGAGTATTTCAACTCCAGCGTGCTGCTGGACTCGTCATTGAGAACGCGGTCGTTGGGATTTTGCTCCGAGCTGGTGAGTTACTTCCCGTCCTCCTGCGTGCTAAAACCGGACGATGGCACCCGAACCCTGTCTAGTCGTCGGGCTAACGCATAAGCACCAAATTGACAATTTCACTAATCCGACCAGTGTTCCGCACTTCCCCGGCTCTATCCTGGCCACGTGTTGCAACGCTCGACTACGGCTTACTCGACTTGGGATGCAAGCTTCTGGTCGCAGCAGCAGGAGGATGTCGATCCAGCCTGCGTTTTCCAACCAGCCAGTGCAGTGGAAGTCGCTGTCGGCCTGCTGCTGTCAGAGCTGACGCTGTGTCCATTTGCTGTCAAGAGTGGCGGCCATGCCGCTTTTGCCGGCGCCTCCAACATCCAGGATGGCTTGACGATAGATCTGGTCGGGCTGAACTCTACGGCCTTGTCCAGGAATTCCACTATTGCGTCTGTCGGTGCGGGTAACCGCTGGTTGGATGTCTATGATTGGCTAGATCCCATGGGCTTATCGGTCATTGGTGGTCGTGTGTCCGACATTGGCGTGGGCGGCCTGACGCTGGGAGGTATGTGACAGATCAACCAGAGGCAAGGAGAATGTAAGCTAACAAGGTATCCAGGAGGTATCTCCTTCTTCTCCGGTTTTCACGGCTGGGCCTGTGATAATGTTGCCAATTACGAGGTATATCGATCTATATTGCTTGTTATTACTGCTTCTGTATCTGACGCGATTGGTCTAGGTCGTTTTGGCCGACGGTAGCATTGTCGATGTTAACCCTGACACTCATCCCGACCTTTACTGGGCCCTGCGTGGTGGTGGCAATAACTTTGGCATCGTTACCCGCTTCGACCTGACAACGCACACTCAGGGCCTCATGTGGGGAGGCTCACGCATTTGGCTGGAAGAGTATCAATTCGACATCCTCCATGCGCTGGTTGACTTTGGATTCAATTCGCCGTCGGACCCCAACGGGGCACTGATTGTGTCGGTGGCCTACGCTGAGGGTCTCTACCTACTGGTCGCAGATTTGGAGTACGCAAAGCCGGTGGTCAATCCTCCTATTTTCGAGAACTTCAGCAGCTCGGGAGTTCTCGAGGACACCATGGCTATCCGTAGTCTATCCAACATTACCCTTCTGTTCAAGGAATCCAATCCTAACGGACTCCGCGAGAGCTATTGGACAGGCACTGTCCAGCTTGACTATGAGCTGGCGACCAACATCACCAACATGTTCAAGCAAGAACTCGTTCCTATTCAGAACGTGACCGGCCTTGTCCCCGCTCTCGTTTGGCAAGTTATCAGCACTAACACCATGGAGCACATGGCCAAGAATGGGGGTAACGCGCTAGGACTCGATCCGGAAGACGGACCCTTGCTGCTGATCAACCTTGCTTTCATGTGGGATGATGAGGCTGATGACGCCGCAGTCATGGCTGTTCTGGGCAGAGTCACTCAAAAGGCGCTTTCAGCAGCGAAGGCTCGCGGTCTGGGAAGTCGCTATCTTTACATGAACTACGCGAGTCAGTACCAGTCCGTCGTGCCCTCTTACGGCACGGCAAACCAGGCTCGCTTGCAGGCGATCTCGAAGAAGTACGACCCTTTGCAGGTGTTCCAGAACCTGCAGCCGGGCTATTTCAAGCTGGACGGGGCGCCAGCTTTGTAGGATGCTCGATGCATAGATGTTTCGGGAATCACATTGCAGTGGATCATACAAAACTTGGCGGTTCAGGTCAGCGCCAGCGACCGAACCCCCATGAACCTCAAAGCTGGAGTTCCCACAAACAGATAGAATTATATAATATGTACTGAGTTAATAATGATACTACACAAAAATAAGTTTCAAGTTCGAGTCGATCTTCTGACCCGTCGTTCCCGACTCAATCACCTTCATAAGAGACTAGGCTGAGAAACGGAAATGACTTCCCCTTCAGCAATGATCAGTTTTGTCGCTAACCATGCAGTACGAGAGTGATACTCATTTATTCTGATCACCACCGAGAACGAGATCGCAAGTTGAATTCCCATTTCAGAATCCGGTTTTCGCGAACTATTAGTGCTAGTGCTATTCATAGGTGAATATCCAGACTACAACGTCCTTTGCGAAGCTTCTACAATATCCGCTGTCGACGTATCTCCTTAGCGCCAGCCAGTTTCAGACATCCACCTTGTGAAACACGACACACGACACATGAGAAATGATAGCCAAAAGATACGCGCCCAGCTATTACCGAATCCTACTAACAAGCTATCCCTACGCGACACTAGGGTGCAGTCATCTAACATGCGAACCCCTCTCAGCCTTGCGGCGCCTATGGAGGCATTAAAGACGTAGCCTGATGACAAGCTACCCAACAAATCCAGTACAGCACCCGTCCATATTCTTCCAATTTCTATCACTCAAAACTGATTTCACATTCCCAAGACCACCATCTGAAATAAGGCACTACTGAATTGTATCAAAATGGCCTCCCCGCACCCCAACACCTCCTACACCCTCGCCTGGATCTGCGCGCTCCCCGAAGAATACGAGGTCGCGGTCGCCATCCTTGACGAAATCCACGGTTTACCGCAACACCAACCCCTCGAAGACAAAAACGCTTATCTACTAGGCAGAATAGGCGCGCATAATGTCGTTATGGTCTGTCTCCCTGCAGGCCGGATGGGGACAACTGCCGCGGCAATCGTAGCGGAGAACTTGTGTCAGACTTTCCGGTCGGTGAAGTATGGGTTTGTTGTTGGTATTGGGGGTGGTGTTCCAGGGTCCGGGAGGGATATCAGGTTGGGAGATGTGGTAGTTAGTGTTCCGGGGGGTGGGTATGGGGGTGTTGTGCAATATGATTATGGTAAGGTTGGAGGTGATGGGAGGTACATTCATCGGGAGCATATCAATGCACCGCCGGGAAAGTTATTGGCGAATGTTACGCTTTTGGGGTGTCTTTCGAGGAAGAATGTGGGTAATCAAGGGAATATGACGGCTGATATCTTGGCGTCGCTGGGGGAGAAGTATGCGTATCCTGCCGGGCTGCGGGATAGGTTGTTCTGCTCTGATTATTCGCATCGCAATATCCCGGGATATACTGGCTGTGAAGCCTATAATCCTGTGGGCGAGGTGTTTAGAAGGCGGAGGACTAGTGATTTGCCAGGTGTGCATTTGGGTACGATTGCTTCGGGGGATGGTTTGGTTAATAATGCTGAACTTCGGGATAGGTTGAACGGAGAATATGGGAGGTCAATATTGTGTTTTGAGTGTGGATCAGCTGGGGTTATGAATATTTTGCCTTGTTTGGTTGTCAAGGGCATTGCGGGCTATGCGGATTCGCATAAGTATGATGCGTGGAGGCCGCGGGCTATTGCTGCTGCTTGCAGCTATGCAAAGGCTTTGATTTTGCAGATTCCACCGGAAGAGGTGCCGCAGCAGGAGAATTCTGTGCATGTGACAGATCTGAGTAAGTGGGACGCTTTTATTAAGGTTACATGGGACTTGCTAACGGTTTTGCGTCCTAGTCAAAGACCTGCGTGATGAACTGGGTCAGATAAAGGCGGCAATTGATGGTCTCTGGAGTCTTCAGAAAGGTGAGGTTTTAATTAGGAGTGTGCTTCCCCTTCGGCAGTGAGCTAACTACAGTACAGATAAAGCATATACAGAACGTCACACCGATCATCGCCTGACGACTGTGTGGAGCAGAAACGTGAGCATCACCGCAAGCCTCACTAGCAGGCTAGCCTTCCCATATTATAAGTTGATGCAAGTGAGTCAGTATCTGAGACATGGTGTGTCGCTATTCTTCGACAACGTCAAGCGATATATTTGGTCTATGCTACCTGACCACTTTGCAAGGCGCCAGAGAGCGGGCCCTAGTACTGGAGCACTCCCCTCCGTACTTTCGATCCAAGGATGGGGGTGGCATCTCATTGCAGAGCCGCATATGTGGATGTCCTCGTGATATATAGTGAGTTTCTCGATCTGACCTCGCTTGAATGAGGATCAACACATGTCCGCCTATTTACGAAGATAAAGTCGAGCAATGTTCGTGATGTGGCTCGTATGGAGGGGTCAAAGGGAATGCCGAGACTTGCAAATTGGCATTTCCGACACTTTATGCTCTCGCTTGATCGCGCGATCAACACTTTAGCCTGTCTGCCTTCAAATCGACAATCGTTTTCGATTTCTATTGGTGCGGAAGCATTCCCACACACGGCTCAGCGGTCTCGTATTCGTGCCGATCAGAGGAGATTTAGTATGGCTTCGTCTTGGCATGACAGATATATAGACCCTGAGCTGAAAATTTAGCCTTGTATCGAGGATAGGGGATTCTCCTCCCATCGTGGGAGTTTATAGTTTTCTTTTAGAACATCTATTAACACTGCAATTTTGGTAGGCACAGACGGGGAATACTACGAACAATCCCCTAGAATATGGCGGAACTCACAGTGGGATATGTTTCTGGTATCATTGCCGCTGGCGTGTTTCTGGGTAGGTGACTCGGTCCTGAAGATTAAACATAAGCTAACTGCTTCCAGTCCGTCTCTTTATTCCAACAGTCATATGTCTCCTAGTCATTGGCCATCTGCCCGCTGAAAATTCGATCGTCTCTTGGTATTGATTACTCTCACAGGCTTTTTCATAAATCGAATATCACTGATAAAGCTATAGGTCAGTCGTTAGCCGCCTGCTTCACTCATCATATTGGCCCACAATACTCGACTCAGATACCGCCGCTAGCACAGGCGTCAGCAAGAGAATTCTCACCTATTCCTGGCTTCAGTTGATCGCAGCTGTACTTGTATCAATTACCGGAATCGTCACCCCTCTTGGCCTCTACGACACAATCGGTCCCCAAGACAACCCCACAGACGTTCTCTTCCACTACGCGCCTGATACATCAGCCTTCGGAAAGGCAACCCCTAGTAGGGATGGATATAAATCACTTCGGATGTGTTATGCAGACGAGGATCCCGACACCCCAGAGGGCTGTCCCGGCGCACCACCAAATCGGGAGGACATGGACGACATCACTGAAGCCTATTCCGTTTGGCCTAGCAGTATCAGCCTGTTTACGAGCGGAAACGTGTCAGCGACAGTCTCCAGCGTGTTCGATGTCCAGTGGCGGTCGTTTCGTTCATCAACGCAAATAGTACCAGGCGCTAGCCCTACAGGGAGTGTATTCTCTCAGGGATATTATAGACAGATTTCCCAGCTGATCTTGGATGAGGATTTGTTGGCTGTTGAGGGTTTAATCGTGGATAGCAAGGCTGGACGGATCGGTTTCCGCAATCATACTATTCCTGCAAACCTGCCCATGGGCGCTGAGTGGACAGAGGATATCCTGTTCATCGAACCCGAAAGCCGCTGTGTCAACACTAATTTGACAGTGGATTACAACTACGATCCCCAGGCACAATTTAGCAGCTTCAGTACCGACAACATGTATAACACCGATCTTCGGAATCTAGCACTAGTTGACCGCGGTGGCTTCGTTAATCTATCACATGAAAGATACGATATCAATGCTTCCAATTTCCAGGAGAATGCTGCACTGCACGAACGTGCCTACAATGCCGCATGGAGACACAATATGCTCATAATGCAGTACTTCAACGTGACAACCAACGGATCAGATGGACGCGTACCATTCGAGTATATGCACTCAGAGCTGGGAAAGAGGTTCAGTCTGGCAAACATTTCGACTAATTTTGTCGAGCCGATGACTGTCCAAACAGACTCCGGATACGGTAGTTTTCTTGACCTTCAAGACGGCTTTAACTTGGGAACCAACTATTCGATCCCTCAGTCCAAGAATCCACTAAACCTCAGCACCTATGATGTCTACGCCATCGGCAGTGAAGCCTGTCATTACCCTTCCGATACGGCTCTATCAAACATGTCATTCGTCGGCGTAGCCTGCGGTACTATTTTCGCCGCTCCTCGGAGACTCGACGGTGACCCGCTCATCCCAGACACAAACAGCACCTGGAGCACCCCGCTCTATTCCTGCGCAGCGGCGACCAAGGCGGCTGTTCGTGAGGTCACTTTCCGATTCAACGGTACCGGGGGCCTAGACAAACTAGTCATCCAAAGCATCAACGAAAAGAAATACAAAGACCCCTCCGAGCTCCCCCTCTGGGGCGTCGAGCGACTGACGAACCACACCATGCTAAATGTGCGCCCTCTATGGGGCCTCGTCTCACCCGAAGTCGGTGCTCGCGACGACATCTCCACCGTGCAAAGAGACTACCTCTGGCTTCCCGGCTACACGGACCTCCTCACATCTGACACCTTAGCCGGCGAGCCAAGCATGCCCGGAAACCTATTCTATACACAGCGACTCCTCTCCCTATTCGACATCACGACTCTCGACGAAGCAACCTCTCGATACACAGGATCCGGTGACCTAGCTCTATACAACCGCTGGTATGAACTATCTTCCTCCGCCAGTGGCGTCGAGAAAATGCTCGGGCTTATATGGACCGATATGAGCGCTAATACCATTGTCGGGACGCGTGGATGGCATAACGCTCCAAGCCAAGCCCCTATGAATAAAAGGATGGCGAAGCGAGATGCGGGAGGGGTCAGCGTGCCGGTGACACTGTGGTCAAGGAACATCAAATATCACGTTCCGTATGCCATTCCGGCGTTTATTGTTCTTGCTCTTTCTCTTGCACTCGCGGGTTTCACCGTCTGTCTCCTCATTTCACGCCGGACAGGTCTGCGACAGATGCGGTCTTATCTTGCTCGTACCTCGCCGGGTAGAATCCTTGGAACTGGGCTTCATCCAGATCAAGCCGGTGTCCTTGCGTCCACCAAGGCTTGGATCAAGCAGGTGGGTGTACGGAAGGCTACGCTGCCGGGACAGAAGGAGGATGGAACGATTCCGTTGTTGGATATCCCTGCTGCTACTGAGGAGGGGAGTCGAGATCGGAAGTAAGGCTAGCTGTTCTTTACTTCAGTCTGGAAAGTTCGTTCCTATCGTTTTTGATTCACCATGTTCTATTCTTTCTCTGATGGTTTTGGATACCTGGGGACAAAATCAGCACGTGAAATGCTGAGTACGCAGGCGCTGGTCAGGAAGCTTGATATCACGCAAGATTCTGGGGATTAGTATGTTGCAAAGATTAACGTGCAGTAACTATCTCTAATATTTCTGATCTTAATACAATCGAGCATCAACACCTAATCTCAGGCCGCTGCTGCCGGACCCTTCCATATGCTGGAAAACAGCCAGTCCTAGCAAAAGGACTGCTGTGTTTGGAAGCGCTATATATTGGATGAATTTGACGAAGAGCATAGGCAAGTCACTGTGGAACATCTGACTATCTAGAGATCATAGTCTTCCTGAATGAACAAGCTTGCATCAACTAGCACAACTCACTTGGAAAAGAATAATCTGGTTGCAATGGTGAGTCAGATGTGCGCTCGAGCAAGGCAGATCATCGCCCATTGTGGACCTGCATGACTATAGGACGAAGAGGATTGAAAGGATCGATTGAGCGAAACTTGGAATTTCGGGGTAACTCGGTGCTGAATACCCTGGGATACTCAGCAGGGCACAATGTGGACCTATTAAGTTGGCGAATATGCATCGTGCCACAACATACTGTCGATCAAGGCTGAGAGGGGTCAATGACCCCGCAGGCTTCATGCTGGTTCCATATGTCAGTAACATCACTTCTGTGAACTAAAGACAGTCACGGAGTTTGTCCAAGCAGGTCGGAAGCATCGGAGGCACATATGAACGCAACTCCTCAGCCCTGGTGGACGGTGCTGTAGAGTTGCAGCGATTGGGTGCATTTACCGTCATGTGACACATTGCCACCAAAAGAAATACTGAACTATTGACTGCCTTATGCCTGACAACCTTGTCTTAACGCACCTATTAACCGGATTCAGATTGTTTCACAGGGGTCTACTAGAGGCGGAGTTGTGCTCGAAATGGATAGTCACCCTGCAGCTAGTACGGTCAACATTCTTGATTTCAAGAGGATCATCGATCAAGGGAACAGCAGTACGCTCTCAATGATCGAAGATATAAATACACCCTTCCTGCTTCACCAGAACTCCTACTTCTTTATCCACCAAAGTCCAGCCTCTGAACTAAGTAGCTTATCTACATTCTATTATTCAATCAATTCTATTTCATCTCCTTCGGCTTGCTTTCAACCCTACCATCAAGATGAAATTCACCACTGCACTCGGTGCCTTCGCACTCATCGCCACCGCAAATGCCGCCGTGACTGGGTACTGCACACCTGGCTTTAATTACTGCGATGGGGTTCTCGATGACGTCGGTGAGCTAAAATCAACTCACTTACATACATAAAGGCTGCTTTTGAGGTCCTTATACTGATATAACAAAAAGGTGACAACGATGCGGCCATAATGGACGCGTTGAGACGATTCGGTGATGTACCAGACGTCCGTAATCGAACCAGTTGGCGTTGGTTCTTGTTCCATTGCAACGATGATCATTCACTCACTGTTGTTGAACGTTGTTACGATGGTTGTCAGAACAATGGGAAGGGGAACACTGATACCTGTCGTCGTTAAATTCGGGACCTAAGGAATTCGTAGCATTCAGATCATATGAATCTGTATGTTGAAAGCTTGGTTTAGGTTCTTAGTTGGTTGGGGCTTACTATGCAATTTACCATTGGGCTTAGTATTATGTACTACGTTTTTGTGTATGTACAAAGACAGTGGGAATGTTGTTTGGAGAGAGAAGTTATGCTCTATCTATCATCTATCATCCAGTTCACAGGGTCAGAGTAGGTTAATCTTAATGATGAGAGCTGCAAACAAACTTCATAAACATAAAACTGCAAAAGAAAAAAAGAAAAGAAAGAAAGAAAAAAAAAAAATCAACAAACAAACAAAGAAAAAATCCAGGGCATGCTCAATACCCATTATGAGCCTGCGTCCGATGACTCTGCGCCTCGCCTCGCGACCCGAACGACCTCTTGCAATCCGTACACCGAAAATGCTTCATCGTATCATGCCGCCTCAGACTCGCCTTATCTATAAAAAAGCGACAGCAGTCTAGACAAATCCTCTCGCGATAAGTGTTACAGATTTCACGAATACTTGAGGCGAATCCAGATGGGAAAGTCTCTATATCCAACCTTGCCATGATCCTGTCTCCATAAGCGTAAGCCACAATGCAGTACACTCCCCCCCCCCTTTTTTTAAGTTGATTTAATTGATCTGATCACATACCGTAATTTCCCCTCCACATGAGCTATTTTATCTATCAATAATGTCGAGAAGTCGTATGAAAATAGTGGGCATTCCTTGCGTGTCTCGTGAAATTCTGAAACCCCATTCAGTGTATCAAGATGCTCCACGGCGAATCTTGCTACTGTGTCCCGCAGCTTCGAGTTCTGTGGACTATCCGGTCCGTAGACTTTCTCGATAATTCGAAAAAATTCCTCATTGTCCCGAACTAGTGTAAGTCTGTTTTCTAGCTTCTCTTTCGCAAGGGCCATTAGGGGCTCGACGGCGTATTTATCAGCGACGTTGTACATTGCGATACTAACATGCGCTTTGGTAGTCGGAGGCTCATGTTCGGGATTAGTGGCAGGGTGTTTTTTGTCCGGTGTATCGTCGTAGTCTCCACGATAGAAATAGTCGATCATCTTACTAATAATCGTGGGATCGTCGTGGATAGTAACGACTCTTGTTTTCGCCTCCTGTAACTTGTTAGACTCATACTGGCATATCCCATAGACTCACCTGAAACTTCCCACACAGGGCCTTTTCAAAAAATGGCGACTGCGGACAGATGATACATCGATGGACTTTGAAGGTCGATGGGTGGCATTTTATCTCGAAGTCGGAGTATATTCCATTTCGGATACTAGATTTGTTTATTGTTAGTTGGTGTGTGGTTTATAGGGTTCTCGAAGAAAAATCACTTCGATAGAATGGCAAGGAGGGTGCTGGGGTTGGTGGCCATGCTCCTCAACAGTGCGAACCAGTGCATTTTCGACGATTAAGTGAAGATGCTTAGGTGTTGAAGGAAAGTGGGTTAATGATGATATTTTAATTCTTGTATGAATACGTCACAGAAGTAGGGTAATGCTAGGGTCATGTTTGCGTTGTGGTCGGATGCGCGCTATAGGCTTCCGTACCAATGAAGACTATGGGTTGGAGTGGATAACCTCGCCAACGGATCGGATTGTATGGCTTCAGGGCTCTCTCTGAATCAGGTACAGGTCTATATAGGCGGGAATTATCAGACGTCTTTGTCGTGTTTTATGTTGTTAAGGATTCAGCTGTGCCGACGTTGTAGAAAGCAATCTCAAGCAATCTTGAATTTGACATATCCAAAATGAGAACGACGCGCGTCACATACAGAGAAATCAATAAGACCAACGCGAAAGTAACCAGTCGGCTAGCTCATGATGGCCTTCCCTTCTTGCAAAGCCCGCTGCCTGACGACGTATAGACTCCAGATCTGCATCTTCCCCATAGGCATTCAGAAACAACTGGACCATATCAAAATGGCCATACTCCGCAGCGAGGTCAATTGCTGTTTTACCACATATTTGCGCAGCTGGTGCAGTGACATCTGCTCCACGTTCAAGAAGCAGTACAGCTAGCTTCAACATTCCACTTATGGCAGCCGCCTGGAGCGCAGTAGCCCCTCCTTCCAGTGCTGGAAGAGCATTGACGTCCGCACTTCGGTTCAGTAATAAAATGGCTAAGTTGAAATGGTGCCTTCTGATAACCTCTTGAAGGGGTGTCCCGTATGATCTGGTTGCGTGGATGTTAACGGCGGCACCATGATCGATAAGAAGAATACAGGGCTTCTCGTGGCCATAGCGAGCTGCGCGCTGAAGCAAAGTGCTTCCATCTTCTGCGTGAGAGTTTATATTTGCGCCTGACTCTAGAAGAAACTCAATGACGTCCTTCAACTCCTTTTCCTTACCACAGAATTTGAAAACTTGATCCCATGCCCTTTGGACTGCTCTGTGGCAAAGCGTTGGCAGAATCATATTTAATCTTTCCAGTATTTGCCGACTGTAAGCTATGTCAACTTTCCAGGTGAACGTTAATTTCAGCGTGTCAGCGCTCCCAGGATGCTTGTGAAAGTCAGGAACTTTGGCTAGAAGCAAATCAATAATGTCAAAGCCAAATCTTTCGCGTAATGAAAGCCATAGCAGGCTTTGGTAGGAGTATGGGCATATCACAGGAGGTGCAACAGAATTGGCGCCATGTTGCAACAATAATCTTGTCATCTCCTCGTTCCCGTTCAGGATAGCCCAGTCAAGAAGGCAAAAATTTCTCGCTAAGTGATATTCCACAGTCCCATCTTGCGCGATCGGGACTTGTAAGCTGCAGTTAATCCTCGCACCACGGTCCAAAAAGAACCGCATCCCTTCGAGCCAGTCTTGGTCGGCTGCGATTGCAAGAGGTGAGTGCATATCATCATATGCTCCGATTTTGTTAACATCCGCGCCGTGCTGCATTAAGAGCTCCAGTAGTGGCAGTGATTTATGCTTGGCAGCGGCTTGAAGAGCGGTCTTGCCCTCCTTGGCTGGTGGAGCGTCAACCTCTGCTCCCAGAGCGATCAGATCTCTCACAAGTCTTATGTCACCGTAAGAGGCTGCTGCCTGGATAGGTGTCAAACCCCCAACAGGCGATGGATCTACGTTCAAATCCGCCCCTTTAGCGAGTAGAAACCCGGCCATCAAATAGTGGCCATTCAAGCACGCGGCCTGTAAGGCAGTCAATCCTTTTTCCGCTCCTGCTGGTGCATTTACCTGCGCGTCGGCTTCCAAAAGCATCCTTAGGATTTCCAGATTCCCGCTCTCTGCTGCCCCTTGCAGTGCAGTGCGGCCATTGTACACCGCAGGTGGTGCGTTTATATCAGCACCCCAGCTGCAGAGCAGTCGATATATCTCGACATTCCCTAATCTTGCGGCCATTTGTAAAGGTGTGTCACCTATATTGGGTGCAGCACGGGAGTCTGGAGAGGCTCTTGCGTTTAACAAAAGCAAGATGATCTCCATATTTTGGTTTGAAACTCCATATTGCAAGGCAGTACACACAAATATCTTGCTGGTATGTCGAGGGTGATAAACCTCTAAATCTGTTTGAGGGCTAACAGCGGATGCCGGGAAAGCCATCGCAGAAGCTCCGTGTTGGAGCAAGTATCGAAGGAAACTCACATTGTCCACCATTGCAGCAATCTGAACGGGAGTTAGAAGAGATATCAGTACCTCATAGTTGTAGTAACCCGGAAATTGGATTTGCTGAACACAAGGAACATTGATGTCCGCTCCATGCTGAACGAGATACTCAGCCACCTCTAAGTGGCCTCGAGAAGCTGCAGCTTGCAAAGCTGTTCCGCAATACCGCGCAAGGTAAAGATTAACCCGAGCACCCTTACTTTGAAGCAGTTTCACGGCCTTGAGGCTGCCGCTACGCGCTGCATCAATCAAAGGGAATCCAGTCTCTCGATCTTTAATGTATTTTTCTGGGTCGGCACCAAAGGCGAACAATGTTGGTAGGACCTGAACTTTCAAGTCCCAGTAATTAGGCCTTCTGAAAAAGAATTCGATTTCGGGGCGAACCCCGGCCCTGCAGAGTAACTCAACCATAGCTTCATTTCCACTGTATACCGCGTGGCATAGATACTCGGTCCAAGTTTGGTGCCGGGACGGACTAGTATCAGTTTGTAGCCAGAACCCGCATTGTATGAACTTCGGCTAAGATATATATTTCCATACAGAAGAGCATTGTGGAAAACCTTCCTAGCGAACACCGCCATCAACGGAGACCGAAGACGACAGATGAATAGGAGGATGATCGTGCCGCCTTTCTCGACAATGTATTCAACAACCTTGTGGATTTGCGATTCGCTGAGTAAATTGTTGGCGGACAGAAAAACAAAGTGCTGTAGGAAGAGCTTGAGGATGGTAAAAGACGAATTCCCCCGCAGTGCTTTTGGTTTCAAGGTCGAGGAATATCCGTCATACGGTTCTTCAGGTGGAAGAAACATATTATGGTCGATGCTGACCTTGTAATAGAAATACTTTTCAACTCTCAATCGTGGTACGCCACTATCGAACCGACTGGCAAGGTCCCTCATGGCAATATCCACGGAGGTACCAGAGATTGGTGGGGCGATAGGCATCTGAATATCTACGGGGACGAAAGCAACTGATTAGTTTTTTCCAACTTTGCCAATTCAAAAAAGGGGGGAGAAAGCTCGTGGTGAACCATACAAGAACAGAGTCGCACATTATTAGGATAGGAAGGTATAGGGTGTAAGAAACGACATCAAGAATAGCAATTAGACACCTACCGAGGTTCTGTATCTCATGGATAAAAATGTACCAAGGAAGATTGCGAAGGAGGAAAGCGCGATACATGCTCGATAGGTGAGTATGCTCTGACTGGGGTGTGCAGATCGTGGTATAGCTGGAGATCTCTTCCTCGAAGCCACACCACTCGTGACCTGGATGAACGGGTCGTGCAAACTCAATTTCGGTTTCTTCACGTGTATATTCACAAATATGAAGGTCGCTGTCTTTGTCATCTTGTCTTCGCTTTCGCTTCTTTGGCTGATCAAAGACCCGGTTTCTTCTGGGGTGATATTTCCTTTCTTCCCAGAGTTTCAATTTTCCAACATATTGGTTCTTACTAGAGGCAGCCACGCGACAGTATCAGCATGTAGACTCAGAAGAAGGCTCGGCCCGAAGAAGGTCAACTTTATACCTAGCTTCAAAGCCATATTCCTCCATCATATGTTTCATCATTTGATCTAACGTTCTTGATAAATAAGAAGCAATAATTGCTTCTTTGTGTCGATTCCATATCTCTTCCGGGATACGAGGAGCTTTCTTCGGCATCGTGAAGCAAGTAAAGATGCTCCAGAGGGTCGGATTTTCACGCAGGGGAAGACTTTGATGAAGGGGGGGAGAGAAATTCGTCACCGACAATCCTTATGAACGGCAGGTAGGTGGTACTATATCCTTCTCGGGGGCGCACCAATTTCAACTGAGACCAAAGATTCATCTTCTGGTTGGGCAACACCCGAATCAGGGTTTACCAGGAGCACAGCCTCCGTATACTTACGCCTTCATTGGCTGAAGCCCAACTTCGGACGCTGTGATACGGTGCCGCAGAGAGCCCTCGACTTCCAGAATTTGGTTTCCTCGACTGTGCTGGACGTTTACTAGCGCTGTTCAGGCTATGGCCACAATTTGGTTTTCACCGACCTCGCTATCCAAATCCAAAATTTGGTTTGTCGCCTGGAATATATAATAGTCGAAGGACACTATGGAGACGGACATTCTTCCAAAGGGCAGCAAAGATGCCTTGGTCGATAGACACGTCGCTATCATTCATCACCCTTCTCCTCACAGGAATCTCGTTCCTTCTTAAAATCTGGAACCATGTTGCAAATTGGTCTTACAGGAGGGTTCTACCCCGAGGTTTGCGGTCGCACCGATTATAACGACCGATACTAATGAACCTAGGAGTAGCCAGATCTACCCCCGAAACCTCGATTATCAGAAGACAACAACAACGTCAACAACATCAACTACACAATGTCGATCCAGAGATTCTGCTCGAATCTGGGCTACATCCTGGAGTCTACCAAACACTGATTGTTAATCAGGTCTGTGAAGCGACACCACCCAAAGCTTCGATCCCGGTTTGACTCGCAGAAGACTTTCGTTTTAAACATCGGTTCGGTTGCGCATACTTTATGACCGACATAGCTGTTCCAGCTTTACCTTCGATATCTATCCATCGGGATTTACAGAGATTCAATATGGCTTTGGGATTTTACGGCTATCTTAATTACCTTTGAAAAAGATAGGGTTCTTGGATTTGTGAATCGCAATACAGCTTTTGGGCCCTAATACAGTTTGGTTAGAGGGAAGTGGGGCTCATACCAGTGGACAGTCTCAAGCTATAAAGCATAGAAATAATGGATACAGCGTTTGTTCTTTGATGACTGACTACTTGAACTAATGACAGAGTTAGGCACCCTCGTATAAGTGAGGTGCATGATTAGACACCTACATCATCCTGCGTAGGCTCAGATTCGGGGCACCTTCAACGCATGGGCACATCCCTACGGGCTAGGGACTTTTAATCAGGCACCATCAAAACCTAATTACCCCACAGGCAACTCTTGGTCCTCTGGGAGCCTCCCCTCCCCGAATCGTCGTACAAAAACCCAAGGTGTCGGATGACTGATCCAAGGCAGCCTTTTTCAAGGCCGTAAGATTTTGGCGCGGGGTGTGTGGCTATGCCATGTAACCAAGCTACTACCAGCCTCACCCACTACGGGATGGATGGCCGCTGTGCCCGCTGTAACACACTAAACAGTAGCTCGTCTCACCCGGGAAACAGCCTCCCGACATCCGGCTGCATCTTACTCTTCTCTTCTTCTCTTCAATCACCCATACACCGTCTCACTCCTCTGCTTTCTACATACTCTCTACCCTCCATCTCTAAAATAATCCAAATCAAACAAAAATGGCCTCCGGACTCATCCTCAACCCCCAAAACCTCCTCCGCGCCGCTCCCCTCATCTCATCCACCTGCACCCTCTGGTTCGCATTCGACCAAGACCTCGTCCTAAACGTCTTCCTGCACCCGGACCACCGTCCCCGCAGTAATGAGATCTTACCATCCTATTTCCGCGTGTTCTTCCGCCGCGGTGTCATCCGCGTCCTAGGCCTTCTGGCCCTCTCCATGGCAGGAGGCGGATACAACATTCTAAAGGACCGTCGATCAGGGGTAGTCGCGGGCCTCCGATCATCCTTGTCGTGGTATGTAGCCGGCACAGCGCTGGCCGCTAGTCATTTGCTTTATGTGCCTGTTATTGCACCCAAGGTGCTGGCCATCATGGAGGATGAGTCGAAGGGTTCCTCGACGGAGGATCTGGAGGGTTGGTTGACGATTCATCGGGTGAGGACTTGGACGGTGGATTTTGCAGCGTGGGCTTGTTTTGCGGTGGGGTTGGGGTTGGCGTAGGCAATTTGGGGATTGGAGGGTATGTAAATAGGTTTTCACTGAGATATACTTTGATGTGCTCATGTAGAATATGCGATGGGATTCAATTGAGTTTTATGGAGTCATACTTCTGCAATCTCTACCACATGCTGTATCTTCGTATGCACCAGACAGCCGCAGGACCCAATTAACATTTCCACTTAGATATACAAAAACATCTATATCTTTGACCTGTCGCATTCTATGCGTACAATGGGATGGAGACAGCTAATTGCCGATGCGACTATAACAAGATCCACGACCAAGTGTATGCATGCACTTACTTACGTCACTTTGTGCCCAGTGAGCCTCGACAGGAATGGGATGGCAGGATCCGCATGTACTCGGTGTACTTTGATATTATCTACTTTGTCAATCATAGAAGCCAGGGGACTGCTGTTCATCAGATGTGAGTTGCCCTCCCAAACTCTCTGCATGTGAATAGCTGACTCTGGAGCTAGAGACTATGATGACTTGTATTATTTGGTCGATAAATACGTGCCATTCGAAGAAGGTACCGGGCCTCGAAAGATTGACGAATTTGAGCGAGTCTCACTCTCGGATGAAAGAGATCATACTAGAGCTTGAGCGATCATAGCCTTCGCTGTCTGGGAGCTGGAACTATGGGAATGAAGCTTTCGACAGCTCACTGCATAGACTACGAGTTGGAATCTTGAGACCATTGTTTTTTTAAATCAAGAAAGCTTCATACATGTTTGAACCAACTCTCTTTGCTTATTCCAGCAATATATGCACTAAAACAAATCTATGTGTTATTGTTGCCGCTCAAAGCTTGAATTCATGCCCGAGCTCAAAATGTGGTTATAGTTCGGCTAGACAGTACTTTTACACCGTTGACCCTATTGTGGCTTATCAGCCATATCGCCACGATCGCAGGTCGGATAGACGGTAAGTTTAGCTCCGTTGACCCCTTTCCAGGACGCAGCTCACCAGGCCCACGCTAATTCCTCGCCAGACCTGCGCTAACCCACTTTAGTGGTCACGTGAGGGCTGACCTGACCTGGTCAGGTCAGCTTTAGTTTAGTTCTAGTCCCAAAGACGTTAGCCTGGTCTGGCGAGAAATTAGCGTGGGCCTGGTGAGTTGTGGTTATTATTACTTTCTTTACAGAAGATCATCTCCCGGGTCAAGTCATCTTTTCAGTTCAGTTACAAAGTCATTTATGAGGAACACACTCTCTAAACGAGGGGGCGCTAGCAGTAATAAGTTATTTCTATATGCTCTATAATCCTTCTACAAACTTTTTAGGAGTATCTACTTCCTATAACTTAGGAAACAAGTGGTATAGTTTCTGGAAGTACAAGAGAAACTTGGTACTATGAATAGGTCGATTGACTATGAATTTGCTTAGTAATGTGTATTACAATCACGTGCTGGTTTTAGGGTCACTTGACCTCTCACAAAGGTCGTTTGACCCTCAAAGTTGAAAGGGTTCAAGAGCTCGAGGAGCTGGGTTCAACCCCTTGAAGCTCGGCACTTATCTTATCGGCTTATCTAGCCCAAATGGGAAGATCGTTCCTTCACGTGATAACTTAGTCATCTCAGCGACTCCGCCACCCGCTCCGCGTCTTGATTGCAAAGCGCTCCGCTCGACATCTAAAGTTCCTTGTCTCAGCGTTCTCTTCTATCCTTATTCTTCGGTTCTTTGGGAGATCATAGGACTTGATTGTCTCCGCCCATCATGCCGCGCGCAGAAGCTGGATCCACAAAGGCGATCAGCAACAAGATCAAAGCCGTACGTTGCCCTTTGGTCCACTTTCAAATCAACATACTAACGTCCAACAGAAAGGCCTAGGCAGACTTAGATGGTATTGTCAGGCTTGTTCGCGCCAGTGCCGCGATGAGAACGGTTTTCGCTGGTGAGTTTCCTATTAAGTGCAAGATCCAACGTTTATGATACTGACTTATCCAAGCCATGTCCAGAGTGAAAGCCATGTGCGCCAGGTGCTGCTGATCGGCGAAGACCCCAAGAAATACATCGAAGACTACAGCAAGCAATTCCTCGACAACTTTCTCAATCTACTCAAGACCGGTCATGGCGAGAAGAAGGTTCACATCAACCAGTTCTACCAGCAAGTTATTGCCGATAAGGAGGTTAGTGGACCGTAATACTTGCGGAGTGATTCTGTTGCTAACATGACAATAGCACATCCATATGAACGCTACGAAATGGAAGAGTCTTTCACAGTTCGCTGCATACCTGGGTCGTGAGGGAATTTGCCGTGTCGAGGAGACGGAGAAGGGTCTGTTCGTATCTTATATCGATCGGAGTCCGGAGGCCATGAGACGACAGGAGGCTCTGCTGAAGAAGGAACGTCAGGACAGGGGAGATGAGGAGCAGGAGCAGCGACAGATTCGGGAGCAGATTAAGCGCGCTCAGCAGTCTGCGAAGGAGAAGGAAGATATCGACCCTGAAGCTCGCAAGCTGCAACGCAAGGAGGGTGAGAAAGTCAAGCTGAATATTGGATTTGGTTCGAAGACAAACGGCGATTCGAAGAGCGAGTCACCGAAGCCCGCATCGTCTGAGGAGAAGGATAGCGGTGCGTCGGCCACTCCAGAAACTGCCGATGCTTCGCCTGCGCCTGCTGCCGCTGCCGCTCCCGCCTCTGCCCCGCCTGCGCCCCAGGCTGCGCCGAAAGTATCTTTGTCCTTCGGTGGTGGTGGAAACAAGCCGAAGAATGTCTTTGCTGCGGCTGTAAAGAAGAACCCTCTTGCAGGAAAGAAAGGGCCAGTTATGGAACAACCCAAGAAGATGACGGAGCAGGAGCGCATCATGAAGCAGGAGATGGAGGCTATGGAGCGGAAGCGTATGCGGGGTTCTGCTGGGTTCCCCGATGCGAAGCGCCCGAAGATCTCTTGAGCTGTCTTTTGAAAATAATATTTCTATGTGGGTTATGCCCATACCTCACACCCTCATCGACATCGATGCCGCTCCGCCCAGGCGACGTTGATCTGTTTTTTCGTCGGCCAGTGGGCTTTGCTAATACACCATGGGGTTGTTACTGTGACAAGTCCGACATGAATAACCCTCACGCCGTGCGCCCTCGGTATCAGTGGCGGCATTTCAAGCAACGCTTTCTTACGATCGCCGTTCAGTCGGATATCTGTTGGTTGGGACGCACTCTTTCTGTTGGTGCAATAACTATGCTATTGGCGTAGTTATCTTATTTTCCTCGGTCGCCTTCGATAGATTTATGACTAGATAGCGTTGGCAATAGGGTTGCCAAAGAATGATTTTCTATTCTGCATTCTCTATGCCACCGTATCTTTTAGTATTGCCTCGATAAGTAAAGTGCGTGCATACCTCCGAATAATGCTATTCCCCTGCCGTAACTCCGGGTGTTCTTCACCCCACACGATAAGGCGGGATGGCTATGTGTACTGTCGGGCAGGGTAGTGAGCTTCAATTATGTGTCCATGTCTGTCTTATGCGAGATATTGTCGCCGTCTTTTGTTTTGATTAGCACTACTTACACAAGTTAAGTGAATATGGTGACGATGATTACCGTTTCCCACCAAAACGCCCAACCCGTAAATATATATTAGTTACACCACTCTATCCACGGAAATGTATTGCACCAGTAAAAATCACCCTGGACACAACTAAAAGAAGTAATAAAGCCGGAATAGGAATTATGAAATAGTAACCTCATCTCGAACCGAAAACTAAACCAGGAGTCTATGATACTCGGCCAAGCATGGTGTTAAGTCGTTTGCGATCTACTTCGGATGTGATTATTTTACTGGCTGTTGATAAAGCCAAAGTTAGAGGCATTTATCATAACAAGCCCGGGTGGTCTAGTGGTATGATTCTCGCTTAGGGATACAAACCCAAGCATATCTGCGAGAGGTCCCGCGTTCGATCCGCGGCTCGGGCCTTGTACATTCCTTTTTTGTTTTTGTTCCGCTTCCGCCTACACACAATTAGTTGTCTCTCCCAAGCAAGGAGACAAGAAGCGCGCGAGAGAAACCAAACAGTCTTGATCATCAAGGAGGCAGGCGGCAGAACCATGTGCCGCTGTATTCTGTCACCTAGGTGAAGTCAAGATTTTGTCTTTTTCCAGCCCATTAACCCGATCCCTCAGCATGAGTCTATCATCATCTCACACACTCTTCAACTAAAATCAGTTGGCTTCGCACTCTCCTGCCTGCATCCTTCCCCACAGACCCCATCTACAATGTAACACAGCGTGACCTAATCAGCATATGAATCTGACACAAGACGTGAGGGTTTGAACTCAATCCAATGCGTTGTCAGTCACCGACCCACCATCCCCGCAGTGAACCATGATAGCTATCTATCATTCGGGTTCATCCCCCGAGCCCGGCATATCGCGCCGTGCTTTTTCTTCCACCGGCGGAGATACGCTCCGCTGATGGATTGACTCATCCACCAATCTCAATTTTCACATTCCAAAATCGAACATTCATCAATCACACCAAAAAAATTGAGAGTTACACTCAGCATTAATCTCTTCGGAGAACCATCCTGAAACTGAAGATGGCTGTACAATCGCCTTCCCCCGAGGGGAGAGAGAAAACCCTCGCATTTATCGGATGTGGTATGTTTTCACTACCAGCACCAATACTACAATCCAACAACCATCAACTTTCCCAGATATCTACAGTATACTAACGGAGGATAAAGGCAACATGGGCTCCGCCATCCTAAGCGGTCTACTTGACGCAACGCGCACCCAAGCGGGAAAACTCAACCACTTCATCATAAGCACCAAGACCGCCGCATCCGCGGAACGTCTCCGCACCCAATATGCAGAGGATGCGTCCCGCGTGACCATCGCACACGACTCCAACCTCCGCGCGATGCGCGAAGCAGACATCATCCTACTCGCCTGCAAGCCCTTTCTGGCGAAAGGTATTCTCTCCGCTCCGGGTGTCGGGGAAGCGTTGTCCGGAAAGCTAGTGATTAGTATCATGGCGGGGATGACGCCCACTGACATACTTGACTGTCTGAGCGACGGTGACCGCGAAAGCGTGAAGATTGTGCGGGCAATGCCGAATGTCGCAGCGCGGTTGCGCCAGTCTATGACTATTGTTGAGCTTCCGGAAAGGAAGCCGCTGGAGGAGTTGGTGGAGATTGTGACGTGGGTGTTTGAGGTGATTGGGAAGGTCAAGTTTCTAAGTGCGGATTTGTTTGATGTTGGGACGATGTTGGTAGGCGCTGGGATAGGAGTTCTGACGGTGCCTTTGGAGGGATTATTAGATGGATGTGTGGTGGAGGGGTTGAGGAGGGCGGAGGCGCTGGAAATGGCGGCCCAGACGTTGTCCGGGATGGCGGCGTTGTTGAAAGAGGGGTCACACCCTGCGGTTTTGAGGGAGAATATATCCTCCCCGAGGGGGTGTACTATCCAGGGAGTGATGACAGTGGAAAGAGCTGGGGCCAGAGCGACATTTGCAGATGCGGTGATTAACGGCACGAGGCATCTGAAGGGGGATCGATAGATGTACTATCTTCGGGGTACGTTTCCGAATAGATTAGATCGAAAGATAGACAACGATAGATAGATAGAACACTGATAGAACCCCGTCAATTCCATTGACATATTATCCTCGATAAGAACGCACAGCACCCATTGGTTCAAACCAAATGGATTCCTACCATATACCAGTTCCATCATCCTGCAGCGGTAACCTTAACCGAATACTACCGGAAACACCCACCGAATGCAATCCCTCCTCCATCACCACCACCAACTACAACGTCACTAAATCCATGCAGACAAAACCCCCTCGCGTAGACTCAAGCCAATCGGTCAAAAAACCGCCCTGCCGCGATCTACAACCACATACTCTGCGCTGGCATGGCATCCCTACCCCTCACTACTACTATCTGACAGACATATAACAAGGGATGATAAATAAGTAGACAGGGGATACCATAAACCCTGAACGTAGAATGAAAGAGTACACCTATCCAGTCTATCCTTTGAAATGAGATCAAAAGTACTACACTGGCCAAAACGGCCCACCACTTCCCCTCTCCTCTACTACCAACTCCTACACAACCACCACCCACCAACCTACCACCATGCCTACAACACCTCAACATCAACCACAACCACAACCACCTCACCAACACACCACACCATCCCCAAACCCCCCACCCCAACCCCCCTATCCGCCCTCCCAACCCGCACCTTCCTCCGCTCCCTCCTCTTCACCTCCGTGATGGCCTCCCCGCTGCTGAAGCCCTGTCTCTCCGTGCTAAAGTACATGGTCGACTCGAACTCCCTCCTCTTCAGCCCGGCCAAGAACCCCATCGTGAATTATCTGCTGCGCAGGACCATCTACGATCATTTCTGCGCGGGGGTTAATGAGCGGGAAGTTCGGAGTACAGTGCAGGAGATGAAAGGGCTCGGGTTCAAGGGGGTTATTCTGGGGTATGCGAGGGAGTCGATTGCGAAGGTTGAGGACGTGGATTCTATTCAGTCTGCTGAGGAGAAGATGGAGGTGTTGGATCGTGCGGTCGAGGAGTGGAGGGTTGGGACGCTACGGACGTTGAAGATGTGTGGGAGGGGGGATTATTTGGCTGTTAAGTATGATTCCCTTTCTTTCAGGTTTGGTGAGGGGTGATGGGTGTGGGCTAATGGTGTGTTAGGTTTACTGGTGCTGGTCCTGCCGCCGTGGAGGCACTCTCGCGCGGTGATCGTGTTCCGCCGAAGCGGATTCAGGAGGCCATGATGGAGATTTGTGATGCTGTTGCGGCGCAGGGATCGCGGGTGTGGATTGATGCTGAGCAGCAGATCTTTCAGTCGGCGATTGATGCGTGGGCGGTGGATCTGATGAGGAAGTATAACCGGGTGGAGAGGGCGGATGCGCCGGTGGTTTTGAATACCTATCAGGCGTATTTGAAGTCTTCTACGGCTAGGCTTAATGAGCATTTACGGCTTGCGCAGAAAGAGGGCTGGGCTATGGGTGTTAAGCTTGTTAGGGGAGCGTATATCGCTCATGATCATCGGGACCGGATTCATGATACCAAGGCCGATACGGACAGGAACTATGATCATATTGTGGAGAGTCTGATTACGAGACAGTATCCGCTGGGAGGGGAGCCCGGGCAGCCGTTCCCTAAGGTACGTCTGTTTGTGGCGTCGCATAACGGGGTGAGTGTGCGGAAGGCGTGTGCGCTGTATCGGCAGCGGGCGCTGAGTGGGTTGCCTTTGATTCCGGTGGAGGTTGGTCAGTTGCAGGGAATGGCGGATGAAGTGAGTCTGGGGATGGTAGGGGGATCGACGGATGGGGCAGCTCCGGGGGTGTTCAAGTGTTTGGCGTGGGGGTCGACGGAGGAGTGTCTGCATTTCTTGTTGCGGAGGGCCGTTGAAAATCAGTCGGCGATGGAACGGACGAGAGATACGGCGCGGGCGCTGAGGGGAGAGGCGTGGAGGAGAATGGGTGGGGGAGCTGTGATGTAAAGACATGCCTTTCGGCTTTCAGTTCAATGTGAATATGATTCGATGATTATCGATCTAGAGATAACCGGTTGTATGTATACCTTTCGGCTCGGAACCCGACCTCGGAGGACGTTCCGGAGTCTGGATTCTCTTTAGTATGAGTATTTCTCTTCTTCAAAGAACCATAAATGGTCCCTGTTATCGCAGCACTCGGACTTGGGCTCCCGTACCTTAGCGGTATGCATCTGTCCTTATCAACTAGGGATCGCCTAGACGCTAAGCTAAAGGATCGGCCCCCGTCTACTTCGTAGGATCTCCATGGCCTCTGCATAATCGGCATCCTCATCCTCTAGCACAGCTTCCTTCTCACATCCCTCCAGTATCTCTAACACGTAGTCCTGGCAGTCCCATTCGAGGGTCTCATTGTCCACGGGCGTGGCGTTGACGACGTCCTTCACGGTCGGGATATCGGGGCTGCCAATCTGACATACAAAGAGGGACTCGATGAAACCCGGGTTATCAGAAGGAAGCCCATTGGATACCATCTTTTGGAAGCTGGGATGCTCTCCATCGACTTCGAAGATGAGGTCTTCAGTGTCTGAGTGGAGATGGAGGGCCCAGTGCTGAAAGTTGCCGTAGCGGGGGTGGTAGATGGCCACGGCGAGGTATGGGGGTTTCATGACCGGTGAGGTTGATGACCGGGAGTGAATGTGTACTGTAACTTTGGAGGTATTTTGAGTATGTTTGGATCAAGGGATGAAGTGTCATTTCCTGTTGTTGCGGGGATCATCTCCTCCTGTCAGTAAGGAAGATGAAGAGGGGAGGCATAACATGCCTGAGGCAGTGAGGCATCAAGGCACCGCAGATGTGAGCCTCTTCTTTCCTCATCTCCTCTTTCCTCTTTCCTCCTTCTTTCCCCTCATCTCACTTCACTTCCCCATCATTTCCATCATCATCATCATCATCAACATCATCTTCCGTCATTCAATTGCCTCACCGCCATCCCGTGTTCGTTCCTTGGTTACCTCCCTTTTGCCTTCCTTTGTTCCCCCGGCCGACCATCTCGCTACCCAATCATGGCCCACCGCAGGGGCTTGTCCGTGGCACTGGGCCCAACGCGGGATCCCCGGACTTCCGGCCTCGCACCATTCCAGGGCCTTCCGTACCCCACAAATTGACCTGGTCGAGTAGGAATGTCTTGCCCTGAGGACCGTGCCAGCAAGTGACGAAGGTTCTTCGGTTCGGTTCCATCATCTCCCGCGGGGTAATTCCATCACCGCTGACCCAGAACTGAACTTCCTCAAGAATTTTCTCAAGGGGCAGTGCATTTAATCTCCTGGTGTTCGCCTGTCTCTCGTTCATTTCACCGATCGCCCTTGGCATTCCCTGTCTCGGACACGAGGTGGACCGACTACTGCAGGATAAAACTCCGATCGAATCTCGCGTCGCACTCAAATCTTATTTATATCTCCTATCCTTTTCTCCTTCCCTTCCACTTTCTGAGCGGATAAAGCAACCGCATAGCTTCACTGGGCTCCCGGCCTTTGCAAGATGCAAGTTAAGGTGTGTTTCAGAATCCTGACCCTTAAAACTGTGGCTAATATATCGTGATAGTTCCTGGCAACGTTGTTGCCGCTTTTGCTGCATCTTCCTGCGGCTGTGGATGGTCTGCAAGGAAAAAATGCGCGTATTTCGGCGTCTTTGAAGAGACACGCCGGTCGCGACGTGCCCCAAACAGCTCTTAACTCCACCAATGTCTATCCGACTAAATTCTCAGGCGTGACCTGGGATGAGGATCATTGGCTGCTCACCACCACCACTCCTGACCAGGGCCACTACCAGTCGCGTGGGTCAGTTGCCAACGGATACCTCGGAATCAATGTTGCCAACATTGGTCCCTTCTTCGAGCTTGACGATCCCGTCAATGGCGATGTGATCAATGGCTGGCCCCTGTACTCCCGGCGTCAGAGTTTCGCTACTATCTCCGGTTTCTGGGATAGACAAGCCCACACCAACGGCTCCAATTTCCCCTGGCTTTCGCAGTATGGTGATGACAGTGTAATCAGTGGTGTTCCGCACTGGAGTGGTCTGGTCCTTGACCTGGGTGATGACACGTACCTGGACGCTACCGTGGATAACCGCACGATTTCGAACTTTGAGTCTACCTATGACTTCAAGTCGGGCGTGCTGTCCTGGTCGTATACCTGGACCCCGCAAGGAAACAAAGGCTCTTATGCAATCACTTATCGGCTCTTCGCGCACAAATTGTACGTGAACCGGGCCGTGGTGGACATGGAGATTACCCCTCTGACAAACGGCAATGCCACAGTGGTCAACGTGCTGGATGGCTATGCAGCTGTCCGCACAGACTTCGTCGCATCAGGTCAAGAGGAGGGTGCGATTTTCTCTGCTGTGCGGCCTTGGGGAGTCAACAACGTCACGGCTTACGTCTATGCGACCTTGGATGGCTCCGACGGTGTCGACTTGTCTTCGCGTAGGATCGTTACCGACAAGCCTTATGTGAGCACAAACAGCTCGTCGGTTGCACAGGCGGTCGATGTCACGTTTACTGCGAACCAGACTGTCCGCATCACCAAATTTGTGGGTGCCGCCACCACGGACTACTTCCTTCTCACACAGGAGACAGCCAAGGCTGCATGCCTGGCTGGCTTGGCCGATGGCTACGTCAAGTCGCTGCAGTCGCATGTCGGAGAATGGGCCACGATTATGCATGACAACTCTGTCGATCGCTTCACGGATCCAGCGACCGGCAGGCTACCTGAGGACAGCCACATTGTCGACTCGGCCATCATTGCTGTCACGAACACCTACTATCTGTTGCAGAACACCGCTGGAACCAATGCAATTGTGGCTGCTGGTGGAATCCCCGTGAATGTTGACAGTTGTGCGCCCGGTGGGCTTACCTCGGATTCGTACGGTGGCCAGATCTTCTGGGATGCAGATCTATGGATGCAGCCTGGTCTTGTGGCTTCTCACCCTGAGTCGGCTCAGCGGTTCACCAACTACCGTATCGCATTGCACTACCAAGCTCAGGCCAATATCGAAACTGCATTCACTGGCTCAAAGAACCAGACCTCCTTCAGCTCTTCCGCCGCGATTTACCCCTGGACTAGCGGTAGATTTGGCAACTGCACCGCAACCGGACCGTGCTGGGACTACCAATATCATCTGAATGGCGACATTGGCCTGGCGATGATCAATCAATGGGTTGCAAGTGGCGACACTGCATGGTTCAGGAACTACCTGTTCCCGATCTATGACGCCGCAGCCACTCTTTACTCTGAACTGGTGGAGCGGAATGGCTCATCCTGGACATTGACGAACATGACTGATCCGGTAGGTAACATGCCCCTTTCCCATGATTTAGCTCTGACCTCCGCAGGATGAGTATGCCAACAGCATCAATGCGGGCGGATTTACTATGCCGTTGATTGCCGAAACACTGCAGAACGCCAACAAGTTCCGCAAGCAGTTCGGTCTGGAGCCGAACGAGACATGGGACGAAATCGCAGAGGACGTTCTCATTCTCCGCGAGAACGGTGTCACCCTGGAATACACGACGATGAACGGTACTGCTGTCGTTAAGCAGGCAGACATCGTCCTTAACACGTTTCCGTTGACTTATGAGTCGGACAACTACACGGCGACGAACTCGCTGACCGACTTGGACTACGTAAGTTGCAAGCACCCATGTGAGGTTCCAAGCTAACAAATACAGTATGCAAACAAGCAATCCGCAGATGGACCAGCGATGACATATGCCATCTTCGCGATCGTCGCCAGCGATGTCTCTCCGTCCGGCTGCTCTGCCTACACCTACCACCAGTACTCTTACGCCCCATATGCACGTGGTCCGTGGTACCAGCTGTCTGAGCAGATGATCGACGATGCTAGCATCAATGGCGGAACTCACCCCGCGTTCCCATTCATTACCGGCCACGGTGGTGCTAACCAGGTAGCCCTCTATGGGTACCTTGGTCTGCGTCTCCACCCTGATGACACCCTCTACATCGACCCGAATCTTCCGCCCCAGATCCCTCATATCACTTACCGGACCTTCTACTGGCATGGCTGGCCGATCTCCGCGTGGTCCAACTACACGCACACCACGATCCAGCGCGATTCATCTCTTGCACCACTGGCAAGCGCCGACCTTATTTTCTCCAACGTTAGCATCAAGGTCCAAGTCGGCCAGTCCACCGCCTCGGCCGATGAGGCAACTATCTACTACCTTCCACTCTCCGGAGAATTGACTGTCCCTAACCGCATGATCGGATCTGTTAACACAACTCCTGGTAACCAAGTCCAGTGTCATCCAGTCTACTCCCCGGATGCCTACGAGCCAGGCCAGTTCCCCATCTCTGCCGTGGACGGTGCTACCTCCACCAAGTGGCAGCCCTCGACGTCTAACTTGACTTCTTTGACGGTCACTTTGTCCACCACGACAGACGCGGCTGCGGAGGCAGTTTCTGGCTTCTACTTCGACTGGTCCCAGGCACCGCCCCAGAACCTGACTGTTATCTTCCATGATTCGCCCATCGGGAACCCCTCCACTGTGTTCGCTGCCGCTGGCTCGAACTCCACAGGATACCGGGTGGTTACGTCGATGTCGAACATCGTGCAGTCGAAGCCGTACAACGCCATCTCTGCGGAGGAGCTGAACGTTGTCTCTATCCCCACCGCCAACACCACCACAATTACACTGGATGCCCCCGTCCAAAAGGCCCGGTTCGCCACGCTTCTGATCGCAGGCAACCAGGCCAACGAGACTGCTGGTGCTACGGTGGCTGAGTGGGTCATTCTGGGACAGAACAGCACTTCCAGCTCCGCGGCACAGGCCAAGCGGCAGATGAGTGCACGGAGCAAGGCCACTCTGGCTCACCTTAGCTGAGCAGCTTGCTCACTTTAACTACGAGACGGTCGCTGCTGTAACATAAGTATCCTTCCATATCTGGATGAGAAGTACATAATCAATTAATGCTACATAATATGAATTACGATCGATCGATCCTCGCTAGCCACAACCGGCTCACCACTCCAGTCTTCCGACCGGCCAGTGTACCAGCCACGACTAGATAATGTATGTATGCGAGCACGCTAATAGATACAAGAAGACAACCCCACCATAATACCGCTGTCGCGTAACAGCACAGCAGACCGTAAAACAGATGCCTCTAACCTCAGAGACACCCATCCATCCTCCACCCATCACCACTCACCAGTAAAGAAAAATCGATTACTCCTCATCCAACGCAAACCGATCCAGGAACCTAAACGTCCTCAACCCCTCCCTAACACTATCCACAAACTCGGCCCCAACCGTCTGCCCCACCACCACACCCTCTCTCTCATCATCAATCCCCGCATTCCGCAACGCACCCTCCCCACTTCCAACCGCCCCCACCGTCTTCCCGAACCGAAACGCATCCACCAGCACCTGCAACGGTCTTCCAGCCGGATACAGGGTACTCACCGCACTAGCCGTAGAATTGCGCTGCGGCGCAGTGACCGATCCCTCGGGAAAGAGCCCCTCCGCACCAGGCGCGACAATCACCGCATCGAACTGGATCGCGTCAGAGGCTGAATACGTCTGATCGACTCCGTCAGTCAATCTCTCCGCGACGACTACCACATCCACTTCATCGTCTTTCAGCTCTGT